GTTCAGTGCGAATTCCTGCTATTTGAAGCAATTGGTTTGTCATAGAATGTGTACAGTATAATTTTCAAGTATGAAAGAATTTTTAAGCAGAAATATAAGATGTTGATTAAGAACCCTATGAATCTAAAATAAATTTCAATAATATCAATAATTAATGATTTTTTTTATTTTTTGTCCTTTACTAATTTGTAAAAGCGCGCCATTCGTTTCTGAGAGAGAAATTTCTCTAGAACAACGTGTTCCGGATTAGCGCGCGGCATACAGTATATCTAGAACTCAGGGCCCATCCCACTTGTGAAAATGAGATATGTTATACTCTACGTCTCTATAGCAACCGTAGCACCCCAAACGCCGTACTGCGCACTCGCGCAACAAGCAATTTTCCCAAGCTAAATCCAAATGCATGCTATATACCTCTACGCGTAGCTTCGCAAGCTAAAAACAAGTTCCCAAAGCAATGACAAGCTATCAGTCGTGTATGCAGGCAGACACAGACACTAGCTGTAACGGTTCGTTCTGCCAAAGATGAACGCGACTCTCCTAAATGAACACACACTGACGCTTATACTAAAAGTGTTTGTGCTGCCCATGCGTACAAAGTTCTAACAGCATTATAAGCTGAGACTTGGTTTTGTAAAGTTTCTTAATTTTCGAGCAAATTTTACCAACTAGGATAAATGAACAAGTAATATTTAAATTTTGTAGCACGCATGGATTCATTATTTTTTTTACAAATAAATAAAATGAAATGATCCAGTTAGTATAAAATTCTTGCAAATTTACAATCGATATGCAATATTATTTAACTAAAATCGTTTTTAAAAGGTAGATATCAAGCAGCTAATCAAAATTTCACTTTTAGAATTATAGATCTCAAGTATAGCATTAAATAAAAATTGTTCTTCGAGGGCATTGTTGCATAATAATACAAAGTCAGAAAATACTTTTGAAATATATGGTACTAAAAATATCTCACAACTAAAAAGGTCAACTAGTTCAACTAAAATCGTTTTTAAAAGCTAGATATCAGCAGCTAATCAAAATTGCACTTTTAGAATTATAGATCTCAAGTATAGCATTAAATAAAAATTGCCCTTCAAGGGCGTTGTTGCATAATAATAGTCAGAAAATACTTTTGAAATATACTAAAAAATATCTCACAACTAAAAAGGTCAACTAGTTGAACTAAAATCGTTTTTAAAAGCTAGATATCAAGCAGCTAATCAAAATTTCACTTTTAGAATTATAGATCTCAAGTATAGTATTAAGTAAAAATTGTCCTTCGAGGGCATTGTTGCATAATAATACAAAGTCAAAAAATACTTTTGAAATATCTCACAACTAAAAAGGTCAACTAGTTGCATCCCAAACAGTCATGTGCTATAAATAACAAAACAATTCCTAAATTACCAATTGCTAAATGTCTTCCTAATAACAAATCGTAAATCAGAAAAAAATATGTTTTATGTAAACAAATATTAGAATGAATCAAAACGGATAAATTATAGATTTAACAAAAATAATTTCAATTTCAATATAAGGACAACCCCGAAGACTTCGAGCAGCAAATATAGATCTTAAATATGTTTCCCAGTGAATATAGCTATTCCCAAGCATTGCTGCTTCAAATTGTGAAATAAATGAGTCCTATTAGGTAAATTCTAATAAAATAATATTCAACTATGGATGGATCAACCGTTAGGTTACTTATTCGAAATTATTCTAAAAATACGACGTAAGGAGCAGTTTCAGCCCAAGCTTGTAGGACGTTAGGTTCTGATTGCAGCAGTTAAAATATGAGAATAATAATAATAAAAAAATCATTATAAAATAAAAATCAAAGCGTCTAAATCAGTATGCTTGATTTTTAACTTCCTTTTTTTCAAAGAACTTACGCAATACTAAATTCAAACAAAATTGTAAAACTTTCCATGTTTAGTAAACAAATTCATATTACAAAATAATTTCATATAGGAATCATATGTCCTCAAATCGAATTCAATACGAAACTAGACTTATTTTTCTGATTCTGTCCACCACTAGCATTTATTCCGTACCAAAAATAATATCAAACGAATCGAACGAGAAGAGAAGAATATGAAAACATTCGTCGAGCAGCGCAACGTTCATCGTCGGGTCGAACAGAGTGCAGACATAGCAAATGGGAACTGGCGCCGTCCCCACTTCGAATGGGATCTTGGGACGAAAACATACTACATCATACATGCGTCATGTTATACGCGATGGCAATTTATTAAATACCTTTTACTGGTATGTAAAGATACCTAATTTTTTATGAAAAATTAATAAGGTTTGATCACAATTAAGAGTAACTATTTAAATTTACAATCAATTATATGTAAAGTCATTCTTTGAAGTTTCAGTATTTTCCAATAGTATTTGGAGATATTTCCCAAATTTGGGACAAAAAATTAAAATTTATTTTGAGAATTCTATATCATGCTGTAAAGAACTGCATTACTGGATGCAGATCTTAGCTTTTTCTTTCTTTGTTCAATTCTAAGCCATGCAATTGATTTTATATCTCTTGTAGATAGATGATCAAATAAAATTATAATAAAAAAAAATTTAAAATCCTTTTCTAAACCATTTAATAAGAAAGATTACATAACTTCGAAATTTAATCATAATATTTCTGGAGTCAGATCTATGCAAGGTTTAGGCTTTACACATACCTTATAGATAAATAAATAATGAATTCCATGATAAGGTAACGCAATTATCTGAAGGTTATATAATCTTAGTTATTACCGTTTCTGAAAAATATTTGTTTACATTTTATGAATAACGTTAAAATTTGTTTGGTACATTATATTATATAATCTCTAAAATCAATCAGACAATGTAAAGTAACAGTGATAGCCATGTGAGGCGTTTGTTTGAAGATAAAAAATCATCAAATAAGTTATTTCTAACAGTCTTTGAAGATATTTCTCCAATTTGGTAAAAATTTGGAAATCTGTTCTGGTGATAATTTTCCCAAATGAATGAATACAAACAGAGATTATATAATTTCTATAATTGAATTGCAAACTCGGTTCTATTTAGGATATGGCCATAGATAAACAAGTATAAGGTATATTTAGGATATGGCCATAGATAAACAAGTATAAAGTATATTTAGGATATGGCCATAGATAAACAAGTATAAAGTATATTTAGGATATGGCCATAGATAAACAAGTATAAAGTATATTTAGGATATGACCATAATTAAACAATTATAAAGTATATTTAGGATATGGCCATAGATAAACAAGTATAAAGTATATTTAGGATATGGCTCAGACCCGACGACCAATTAATGGATTGGCATTTGATTTAGACATTCTGTAAGTACGACCAAAAACTTGCCGATGTTCAAAATGGAATAGGTACAAATATTTAAAAAAAGGTTATGGATTTTGCAGCATATTACATAAGACACAAATTGGCAAAAATTGAATTTGTTGAATAAGATAATGCTGTAAGTCGCTATTATCTATTAAGATAATTAAAGTAAAGGTTTTGATTTAGACATTCTGTAAGAACGACCAAAAACTTAGCTAATGTTCAAGATAGAATAGGGACAAATATTAAAAAAATGTTATGGATTTTGCAGCATATTACATAAGACACATATTGGCAAAAATTGAATTTGTTGAATAAGATAATACTGTATAGATAATTAAAGTAAAGGTTTTGATTTAGACATTCTGTAAGAACGACCAAAAACTTAGCTGATGTACAAGATGGAATAGCCACTTATTGGCAAAAATTGAATTTGTTGAATAAGATAATACTGTAAGTCGCAACAAAGTTCCTTAAGATAATTCAAGTGAAGGTAGATCATATAAATATATAAATTTAATTCGAAACTGAGTTCTTTAAAGGTTTAGCTTATGATTTGTATCATATACTAACTAAAATTTAAAATATTTAGAAACTATTAGAAATTTGTTGAATAATATAATACTGTACAATCTCTAAATGTATTAAATGTATTAATTTAATCTTAGTCATTATTGCATCATTCATTTGAGAATCCTACTAGAACATTACTAAGATAGAAAATAGTTTTTAATAAGGACAGTATACCTAAAAATTAACTTACTATGGAGTTCAACTGAATTTTAGCAGTATATCGGAATTCTTTGTTTTCAATTTTCAATGCAAGAATAAACAACTGAAAACTGTCGTTCTTTTACCAACGCACGTTTGAAGCTGTTGCGAAGAGAAACACGCCGAGTATTTTTGCGTCGAGCGAAAAATAAAAACCGAACGGACGTTCCATGGTCGTTCTGCTACGATATAGCTTACATACACAATGATACCAAGTCTCCAATACATAAGAATTTTCTACAAGCGAAATATACACTGCTGTAGATATAATACAAAGGGCGCACGTTTATTCTTAAAATACTGGACGTATGACTGTGAGGGTATCGGACAAGCACGCACACATACCGAGTCCCCGCCACGATTCAAAAACGTAGAACAACAAAAGACATGAGTGGTTATTTATCGAACATTTGAGCAATCGTACTGCACGTCATTTGACAACTGTATACATGTCAAATGTGGCGCGCACGTTTTAGTAAAAATCCAGTAAACAACAGAATTATGCAAAGGAACCAACAACAAATTTCTAGCAAGAGTGAAGAACGATAACTAACCAATCTTTTAAAACATAAGAAAATAAAATTAAATGAAAAAGAATTGTGAAATAACTTGTACAAAAAAAGCTAGTTTTATGTATTTTAAAGAACATTTGAAATGATGTGATGCAACACAAAAATTGCATTTTTTTGATTTTTATTTTTTTTTCACTTATTTTTCTAGGGTATTCAAATACGATTTTCCGCAGAAGTTATTCCACATAAAATATATAAATTAAATTAACAAATATTTTTAACTACAAATAAATTTTTAACTCATGCATTTTACAAAAAATATCTACATCTACTATCTGGACTTAAAATATTTTTTATTCGACTTACCACAGAATCCACAACCTGAATCTTGATCAAATCAAATAAATAGCTGCACCAGTGAACTAACGTATTTTTTGCACAATTTTTGAACTGTCACACAATTTTCAAATAATTAAATATAACTATTAAAGCGATTGAAAAAAGAGGTTAAGCACAGTCGAAAGCAGCTGTCAGTACGCGCTGTGAAGTTCGTGCATATGAAACTGTATGTATATGACATTCCGTAGGAACATAATGCCGCCATTGCTTAGCGAGAGACCGGTTGTGTATCGTACTGCTCGTGGCAACTCGGCTCGCAGCGGGGACGCACGATCGCACGATCGCACACGAGTCCACCTGCACACAAGTTGATACTCATTCCCATTGCCGGTTATAAACTCTATGACGTTATTATACTAGAAATCTTTCGTTCGTAGGCCGATGAGTATAAAGCTGAATATAATATGCACATATCGCGGTTACAGGAAACCTGAATTTCAAATGTTTTACAATTACAATTAACTGACATTTAAATCGGAACTCGCAGTCGATGATCGATTCTGATTTTTATGAATTAATTGCCATAATTAATTAACAAAATTAATGTAAACTATTTTCATTCAAACAACCTGTTATGCATACAGATATCCATAATCCAAACTGATTTCCTCAACCCACACAATAGCAACTTTTTGAATTTGACGATCACAACTAAGATAATTTTGCTTACAATAACAAAAAGGATCAAGACATTGCAGTTACACCACAAAAATAGATTTTTTTTTATTATTAATTTTTTTTAACAGCAATCAGAACCTTACGTCCTATGAGCTGTTGGGTTGAAACTTCTCCTTACTTTGTATTTTTAGATGGTAACCCAATGGTTAATCCATCCATATTTAATGATTTTGTAATTAGAATTAATCTAATAGGGCTGACTTTTTATTGGTGCAGCAATGCCGGGTGAGGGCTATTTTTACTTGGAAACATATTGCTATCTATATTTCCAAGTAAAAATCGTTGCCACTGCTGCCTGACAACAGGCTGCTCGAAGTGGGTATCGAACCCGGGACCTCTGAAACAAGTCCCGTCGCTCTTAACCGCTTACCTACGGGCGAGCCCTAAAAACAGAAATTGATGCACAAAATCTGCATCGTTCCATTTTTCAATACTACTTCGTATCACAGTATCAATTAAGCTTAACTCAAAATTTGCACAAATCTAGGTCACCATATTTCTTAAGTTAGCATAAATAATACCTTAAAATTAACGATAAGTATTAAATTGAACGTCAGAATCTATTTGACTTAAAAGCCCACCCACAGTTACACCAGCACCACCAGCAAGAAAATCATAACAAATCCCAAATATCTTATTTTTTTATATCTAATAGGTAACTTGAATAGCATCAATCATTATATAAAATTTAAGCTGTAGCCGTTGAATTTATTTAAGTAAAAATCCTGATGAATAAAGTAACGTACTACTTTTAAATTAACAGACATTTGTGCCCCATCATCTTATATGAATGGAAATTATTCAGAGTGAATGAGCTTACATTGGACATACGAGTATTTTACTCGTATTCTCTGACTGATAGTAGTATTATAAATAAGTTAGTTTTAGCCTGAAAACTTGGACAAATAAACTAGTATTTGAAATAAATATTGATCATAGACATAAATCTATATAGATAAAATTTGAATCCATTGATAGCTTTTTGGTAACTTGATGTATGTATCTTGAAGTCCAAAGGAACTCATACAGGATTAGCAAAAACATTGTATAAACAGAAGCAATACTTATAAAAATAAATAGAAGCAATAATTATGAAAAAAATGATCATAACAACTAGAAAAAATACTGTAACTAATAAATGTTTGTTAACTAAAATATAATGAATATGGTAGACAATACAATCGGCTAAAACAAAGATAAGATTGATTAAATAAAACTTGAGCAGAATTTGTATGTACTTCAGCATAATTTATATATCTTCATTCTTGAAATTTATAATTTATTTGAATATGACTTGAGTACTTAAGAAATTATAATATTGAGGAATATCAACCAGGAGATTTATGAGAAAAAGAAGAAAACGTAGAATAAACTCACCCTGATGGTAAAATGGGTAAACAGGTAAGCTCTTATGACTTCAAATAGTTATTTTACAACTAAAACTGGCATATTAGTAAGTCCAGTATAAATTATAACCAGTACAATAGTGAATATAGTCAATAGTTAATTAAAAGTCAATCCAGTTCATAACTGTATTAATAGTTATAACAATTAAGAACTTGATTGACTTTTGTAATAAGGACTTCTGTAAAACTTTAATTCAGAAAATTAATGATGGAAGTAGAAATATTATATGAAAGTTGAAATGCACGCCAGTCTAAATTTGTGATAATTCCAACTTAAATAAATTTTTAAATTTAATTGCAAAAGACAAAGCTATCAAAAATTTAAGTACATACAAATATTAAGTAGTACCAGAAACATAGATATAGAAGAATTACTTCAGATATAACCTAGTACCATGTACTTTGCCCAAATATAAGCGATTTTCTTGTGTTTTTTTTAATAATTATACAGTTACCAATTACAATATTAACAAAATGTACACTACTAATGTTTAATAACTTTGCTGCTCGAATCAGGCAGCACCGCGAGAAGTATTTCGCTCAATGCGTCATGAAATTCAAACATCCTGGTTAACGTCAAAACCGTCTTCATTCTGTTACATTGATATAGGGTAGGCGATAGTAATTTTAATTAAATAGGATATCGAGTAGTTAATATTTTATCTCCTGCAGCATAATATAAATTTTACATGGTTTTACATAACAAGACATAATTCAAATACTACCAAATTCTTGCACTCGAATAATTGTTTTAAATAATCAGATACACTCTCACGTAGAGTACTTTTTAGTTCCCAACATGAATTTTAAAACCCTTAGCTTATGCATTAGGTTCCATAATTAAACAATCACTAAAACAAATGCATGCAGAATTTTTTGAAAAATTTATCTCTTGTTAAAAATTATTTGTACTTATTATAAATGTATATATTTAAAATGTATGATTTTTTATATGAATTCACGATGTCGTTTTTGCTGGGCGAATTGTTAGTCACGTTTCTTTACCCGTGGTTTATGAAATTTGATCTGATACACGAAATAATTATTTAATATTAAAACAAGTACATATTATATTAATATGTTGAAATTTAATATACTTTTATTCAATGTTATACAATTAATTTGTACCTCCTCACTTGTTAAATGATAACACACACCATGGTTTCTGAAGATCAAAATTTTTCAGAATTTTATTCATCTATATGTTAATTTGAGACATATTTTAATTTATTATAAATATAAAAAATTTAAATTTTTCTTCATATTTACATTTATATTTTTTATAAAGAGTTGCTCTTTGTTGTATTATAAGGGCACATTTTGATTGCTTCTCATAATTGAAGTTTTCATTCAGGAAATATAAAAAATGTTGAACTTCAAGCTTTACAAAATACTTTTTTACGTATATTAAAAGCTAAAACTTTAGCCTAAACCTTTGAGTTTACAAAATACATATACAGAAATTATATTTATCTTATTAAAGTACTTTTCGAAAATACATAGTAAATATTTCATCATTCATTAATATATAAGTTTCTATATATGACTGTATATGTATACTAACTGATTGCATATTTGTTTATTAATTAATTGTTTATGTTCGAGTTTGAGAACCATAAGCAATTTGCATTAAAAGCGTCAATAGAACAGTCCGACAATATTTTATATCCCTTTCACGCTTATAAGCAAACCTTGCTGAAGATTCCATAACTATGACCCGCAAATGAAATAGACTGCCGACAAACTTCATCAGATAGCACCGAAATAAATTTCTATAAAAATATTAGAACTTTAGAAACAAAATGAGATAATTATAAGCAAAGATGGAATAATTATGATATTAAGAAATATTATGCATATAAAATAAATTAAGATAAAACTTTTTCCTAAAAATAAATATAACAATTTAAAGAACACTATTTATACCAAAATTCTATCTACTCTACTGATATTATGTTTATAGAAGATTGAATTTGAATAAAACGTAGATATTTTCATTTTTAACATTGCAATTAGATGATAAAGACTTCATGATACAGTTGATAATGAATTGATCAAATAAATCGTTATAAATTAAATGGTTAGCAAACTATATTCTAATTTGTAAATTTTCAGTTATCACAATAAAGCAACCGTGTAACAATTAGCAGATTTTAAAGTTATGATTTCATAAATATTTTTTCCACTAAATAAATAAAAGGAAATTGTAATATTTATAAATGTAGAATTCAGTAAGTACATAAAATTCTATGATCACAAATATATAGTATTTATGAAATCCTAATCTGTTCATTACTGGATGTAAATATATGATAAAATAGCCCTTTATAGAAAAGAAGTAGTTATAATTATGTTTTTTATGTGAGAATATTATTGGAATTATTGTAATATTGAAAACATGATCCTAAATGCAATAAGCATATTCTAATTTTGACGAAGCATTTATAATATATAAAAATCTGTACTTAGAAGTTATTTATCAAACTCCAATAATTTTTTAATTTGAGTTTTTTTGCTATTCCAGTAATTAAATTTATAAAAAATTATGAAAATATTGTTATTTATGAAGGAAAAAGTTGAAATAATTGTTAATTTTTGTTAACAGATATTAAAAAGAAATGCCTTAATACAGTATTATTCGATAAGGATATAGTCATCAAAGTTGTTATAGAGTTAGTTAATAATAATATTATTAGAATAACATTAATATTATAATTATTTTTAGGTGGCTCCTAGCCATTATTAAGTAGATCTGAAAAAAAATTAACACTGAATATCCAATAATAGTGCTTCAGAATTAAAGAAAAAAGGTGTACTAAATACTTACTATGTCTTTATTCTAATATTTATGAAAAAAAAACATTAACCCTTGGTCTAAGGATATAGTCATCGAAGTTGTTCTAGTTAGTCCTATCATTTTAAGGATGTATAAAATTAGCTACCATCCCAGATTAAACCAAAATGAGATTTAATCTCATTTTATTTTTAATTTTTTAATTTAAATCTCATCATCCTAGCTCAAATTAAAATGAGATTTAATCTAGGATGGTAGCTAATTTTTTACCTCCTTAAAATGCCAGGAGCTCGATAACAACTTCGATGACTATATCCTTAGACCAAAGGTTAATGTTTTTTTTTCTATCATTAATATTAGAATACAGACATAGTAAGTATTTAGTACACCTTTAAGTACACCATTTTTTCTTTAATTCT